GATGTAATATCGTAACTATCCAAAATAAAGCTCATGCCAATGGCCTAAGTGGTCACCTTTAATATTAAAAAAAAAAATATTTAAATATGTAAAATTATTATTTAGATTTTTGCAATATTTTAGATTTATTTTTATTAATTAATTCTTTTGTTTACATTTACAACACTACAATTTTTAAGAATTTTAAATTCTTTCAAAATTTTTAGAATATTTTTTAATATGATAATTTATTTAACCAAAAATTATCTTACTAAAAATATAAAAATTTTACGTAATGAAAACTTTTATTCCATTCTAATAATTCCTTATATTTCAAAAACTTGATTATATAAAAATCTAGAATACTTTTACTTAATAATAGAATAATGCACAATATGTATATATCATGAAATTTCTATAAATAGTTATCATTTGTTTTCAGCACAGATTAATTTCTCTACATTATTCGTTTATCCTTAATATAGTAATAAGTGGTTAAAAGTTGCTAGGAGTTAAAACATTTTAGATAATCAGTGATATTTCATTGTTTAATATTAGTTATATTCGATATACAGTAATACCTTCCTAAGTGCACTCTCCTTAAGTGCACACCCTCTTTAAATGCACACTATAGCCCGGTCTTAAGCTCGGGACTTAGTGCTAAGTGCACACCTCTATGTTCTGCATGTGTATAGGTTTTTACTGCCCAGACCTATGCGTGCACCCTCATAAGTGCACTCACATGATTAAGAACCAATAAAATTCAAGATCATATCTTATTAATGGATAGGTAATTCGATGTCATAGAAGGATTATCTTTCTTAAACATGAATTACAACTTTTCAACTCAATGCTTTATTCAAAGTGCCAATATTTACCTTGTGAGTCGAAACAAGAAGTTTCTATTTATAACCTAGCAATGCTGGGAAGAAATTTACTCAAGTTTACTTAAATGCATTTAATCATTAATTTTAATACACTAGATATATGTGTTTATAAAGGCTCTTTGAGATATTTATACAATTTTTATTTTTTTATTTTATGCAAAATAATCTAATGATATTCTTTCAGGTTCTATTTTCTAATTTTTCAGGTTTTTCAAATCAAAGGCCGTTGAATTATTTATTGAAAAATTACAATAGCAATAAACAAGAAAAAAAATAGTTTGCCATTTACAAAGGAAACATTAAAATAACTATTTTTTTATTATTCCGTAAAATAGTCATTAATCTTACTTTGCTGTTGCCGGTTTATTTTTTTTTTTTAAAAAATTTTTTAATTTTTTTAACGGTCTTAACATACTCATTTGCTTCATCTTGTTGAAACAAAAACATAGACACAGTCTTCAAGCTTGTAATCGCCGTTTCGATGCTAATTAAAGGGATTTCAATACTGTCATAATCTTCCGAATCATCACAAGCTTAATCGACTGGCTTGAAAGTTTTTATAAGTTCTTCAATTACTTGGTCATTCGCGGGAATTTCGTAAACAACATCTTCTGCAGGGATAGAAAGAAACTTTTCAACTGGTATTGGGTCATCAAAGTGAATATGGAGGTCTTCAAGTGCATTAGTAAGATTATCAAGTGCCGGATCCATAGTCTGATGAACATTATTTGTAATGCTATATAATTCAGTATTAGTATCAATAGAGAGGATATTTGTATAACACCAGCAGTTGCGAATTGTTTCAGCAGCGACTTTATCCCAGCCTTGAATGATGAAACGTATAGCTTGCAATACGTCTATTTTTAGTCCATCAGCACGTTCACCCTTTTCTACATGCTCTAATATCCAGCTTAAAAAAAAAAAAAAAAAAAATGTATGTAAATCTTATTTGCAAAAACAGTTATAATTTTACCGAATATGAAGATAACGGTAGTGTCTCTTGAAGCTCATTATGATTCCGGCGTCCAGTGGTTGGATTCTGGAGGTTGCTCTCGAAGGAAGAAATAGAGTTTGCCAGGGCGGCCCCCCCAAAGTTCGCTAATGATCGACATCACTGCCGCAGCTGTCGCAGCATCCAATCACC